AATTTTTTTTTTTTTTTTTTGCAAAGTCCAATAGATCTGTAATAAGTCTGATTTTGTCCATCATAGGTCTGATTTTTACTAGGAAACAGAGCCCCACGATGTACAGGCTCTCTGAGCTGGCTCTCTCTGCGGCACCGACAATCTGGCAGTTCAGGTTTGCTTTCAAAGCCACCATGTCCCCTCCTGCTGGAAAACAACATTGCAATCTTTGGTGTCCCTGAGGAGACCTTGCAGAAAGGTGAATTACAAGTCCTGCCAAAGCCAAGGGTCCTTGGCATATCTTTGGTTATTGGATGAAAGAGGAAAGGCTAAAAAGGTTTTGGCAACCTGGTTAAGTACTTGATTCTTTAAGAAGGGGCTACACCAGCTTGGAGGGTGGAGAGTAGAGCTATGGTTAATCTGACCAGTCATCCTCATCAAACTCCGAAGAATCATCCTCAGAGTCACTGTATTCTACAGCAATGCGGCGCGAAAGGATTGTCGCCACGTCGTTGCCCACGACATCCCGCTTCTCCTGTTCCCGCTGCTCCTCCACTTTGCGGAGCTGGAAGCCTGTCAAGGCAACAACAGAGATAGTCACTCAAGGGCTTGTGATTTCATGGGGGCTAAAGAGAAATGACTTGCTAATGTTGTCTTCTGAACAACCTTGGACAGGATCGACTCAGTATCTGGAAGCAGGCTGGGCCAGCTCGGTGTAGCAACAAGCCACCAACCGATGAGGCCAGGCTGGGAAAAGGTGTCTGTTTCTACATTCCTTGGATGTGCTGCACACGCTGCTGTTTTGAAGGGAGGATGACTGCAGCTAGCAGGGCAAACGGCAGAAGATTATAGTCAGAATTATCGCTCTTATCAGGATGAAGCAGGGGTGGGCACCATATTGAGATCCTCTCTGGATGCAGCTATCTACAGCAAGTGTGGGTTGCAAAAAGGAAGCCAGTGGTAGCGATGCCCTCTGGAAAGACACCTGGGCCCTCACCCTTAGTGCTCTGGGACCTCCCCCAGGAAGAGACAGAGCTATGTGTAAGAGAAATGTTCTACACTCCAAAAAACCGATGCCAGGACGTACCTTGACGAATGGCTGACAGCAAATCGCTCCGGGCATCACTGACTGCGGGCAAGGAGGATTTTGGCTTGGAGGCTGATGAGTCCAAAGGTGGAGGCGAAGCTGCCGGGC